TATATACACATACACACCCCCTATATTGATATTCATCTGTGATTATAGGATCTTGATCCATGAGGTGTGTTTCCAGTATGCTTAAGTAATTTCCTCCCTCTGTATGAAGTATATCCCTTGGCGCTGACACAGTAGCTTAACAGAGAATACAAAGCAGACACTCACAAAGCTTTAGGCCTGCAGCTGTGTGTTTGGAGCAGTCGTGTGCTGGTTTAGTCGATTAGCTTGTTACACTAGCGTAAACCGGTCGGTTTTCCTGTGCTGCATCGCGGCATGTGAAGTGTGTGTGTGTGTAGATTTTGCTGTTTGGTGCCTAAAAGTAAGTAAAACCTCACTAACCTACATTGCAGATCTTTTGGTGAGTCCCTGTGATGAGTTTGGCTTTGTAAAGGGACTAAATAATGTCTTGAAATCTAAGCCTGTGACAACACAACCCTTATAGTTCAATACTATCTATCTATCTATCTATCTATCTATCTATCTATCTATCTATCTATCTATCTATCTATCTATCTATCTATCTGTCTATCTGTCTATCTGTCTATCTGTCTGTCTATCTGTCTATCTGTCTATCTGTCTATCTGTCTGTCTGTCTGTCTGTCTGTCTGTCTGTCTGTCTGTCTGTCTGTCTGTCTGTCTTGTGCATGTTCTTAAATCCTGCTCTTGTGTTTCTGCATCAGCTGTTTGAGGAGATAGGAGCTCATCTGGACGGACGCGCTGCTCCCGTCAGCGGCACCCTGAACAAATGCATTTTACTAGCGCTGCTCATCGCCATCAGCATGGGCTTCGGACATTTCTACGGTGAGCAGGAGCATCACGTCTGTCTCTTCTTATTAACCCTCATAATGTATTCGGGTCTGTTTTGATCTGCAAGAGATACATACTAATTTCTAAAAACTTATTTATTTTCCAGATCCTATTTTGCAATTATTTTAAAGAGATATAACCATTTAATTATTTATTTGGGTGATTTTGATACATATGGAGTATTAGGAGTCAAAAATTATTTTTGTTACATTTTCTGTGAATTTAAATTAGTGTCAAAACACTTATGTAAAATACAGTATATTTAGCCTTTCCCCTTATCTCACATAGTTTTGGCAATTTTGTTGATAAACATTATATGTATGCCTATTGACGAACCATAAATTAAGTTATGACCGTTTTATAAAGCAACGGTTCTTTTGCGAAAATTTTCTACAGATTTTGAATGCATTATGAGGGTTAAATGATTAATTAAAGTTAAACTTTTAGGATGAGTATCCTTGCAATTATTACTGTGCAAGTAAATAAAGCTTTATTCCTAAAATAAAGGTATGTATAGAAAGCATATGCTGTACATAAATGGTCACACGCGTGTGTATTCTCTGTTATCAGATAGGAAACTGCACATCAAGATTGTAATTTTTCTTATTGAACCAGAATGTGTGTGTGCGTGTATGTGTGTGCGTGCGTATGTGTGTGCGTGCGTATGTGTGTGCGTGCGTGTATGTGTGCGTGCGTGTATGTGTGCGTGTATGTGTGCATGTATGTGTGTATGTGTGTGTGTGTGTGTTCCAGGCACAGTCCAGATTCTGGAGAGGCAGAGGATCGTGGAAAAGAGTCGCATGAATGAGCTGGAAGCGCCGTGTAAGAGAGAGCTGGACGTTGTAAGTCAGGTCAGTTTGTCACAAACCGCTCACTGAGCTTTACTGCGGATAGAAATGCTTGGTTACTTAATTGGATTCAAACAGGGATAAAATGAGCATTCAACTAGAGTTTGAATCCAGTTTTCTACAAATAGCTCTCTGTGCTTTTTGGTTGATAAACATTATATGTATGCCTATTGACGAACCATAAATTAAGTTATGACCGTTTTATAAAGCAACGGTTCTTTTGCGAAAATTTTCTACAGATTTTGAATGCATTATGAGGGTTAAATGATTAATTAAAGTTAAACTTTTAGGATGAGTATCCTTGCAATTATTACTGTGCAAGTAAATAAAGCTTTATTCCTAAAATAAAGGTATGTATAGAAAGCATATGCTGTACATAAATGGTCACACGCGTGTGTATTCTCTGTTATCAGATAGGAAACTGCACATCAAGATTGTAATTTTTCTTATTGAACCAGAATGTGTGTGTGCGTGCGTATGTGTGTGCGTGCGTGTATGTGTGCGTGCGTGTATGTGTGTGTGCGTGTATGTGTGCGTGTATGTGTGCATGTATGTGTGTGTATGTGTGTATGTGTGTGTGTGTGTGTTCCAGGCACAGTCCAGATTCTGGAGAGGCAGAGGATCGTGGAAAAGAGTCGCATGAATGAGCTGGAAGCGCCGTGTAAGAGAGAGCTGGACGTTGTAAGTCAGGTCAGTTTGTCACAAACCGCTCACTGAGCTTTACTGCGGATAGAAATGCTTGGTTACTTAATTGGATTCAAACAGGGATAAAATGAGCATTCAACTAGAGTTTGAATCCAGTTTTCTACAAATAGCTCTCTGTGCTTTTTGGCTTCTCATGTTGTTTAATTGGTGAACTTTTCTACAGCTTTCATTATCCTGTAGATGCTGATCATTTTCTCTCAGATTCAGCTTTAGATGCTATGATTTAGTGTCCTTTATCTTTATCCTTCCTCTAATACATTTAAATCACTTTTGCTGTATTGTTATTGGGCGTCTTTACATTCCCTGGCTCAGTATTTAATGAATGTATTTTTTTTCCTAATTATTAAATTGTTCTAAATCTGACCTAGTTTTGTGTTGCTTTAGAAAAGAATTACAAATTATTTTTTGATGATGAATTTTATGCAAGGATGCAATAATTTGATAATAGTGAAATTAAGTGACAGTAAAGACATTTGTAATGTTACAAAAGATTTCTATTTCAAATAGATACTTTTCTTTTGAACTTTCAAATGTATCAAATTTTCAAATTCAAACGTATCAATTTTCTTTTCAAAATCAATCAAATGTATCACCGTTTACACAAAAATACTTCTGTTTTCAACATTGATAATAATCAGAAATGTTTCTTGAGCAGCAGATCAGCATATTATACTGATTTCTGAAGATCATGTGACACTGAAGACTGGAGGAATGATGCTGAAAATTCAGCTTTGATCACAGAAATAAATTATAGTTTACACATATTCACATAGAAAATAGTGATTTTGTATTGTAATAATATTTCACAATTTTTACTGTATTTTTACTGTAGCCTTGGTGACTTCTTTCAAAAACATAAACAAATCTTACTGACTCCAGACTTTGAACAGCAGAGTAGCTCTTGGGCGTCATTCTCACGTCAGTCTCCATGCGTTTAGGAAGCGGTTGAGAATCTCAGGGAAGACCTAGAGGAAAAGCAAGACATGGTGATGTCCCTCATGAACGTCATGGATAAGATAACTAAAGAAAACCAGCATCTCAGAGTCAAACAGGAAGAGTTACAGGTAACCTGACTGCATTATTGTTTCCTCCCAAAATCTCTCATGTTTTGGGGGGAAACTAAAACAAAGTATAGCTGCAACAAAATTCACCAATTTTTACCGATTGTAGTTTATAGTATCTAGTTAAAAAATATGTTAGAATTAGTGCACATTCTGTTTTCATTTAAATTTTAGTTAAACTTTCAGTCGTTAAGTGTTTTTGTCAATTGTATTATTTATTTATTTAATTAATTTGAATTAAAACTACATGACAATGTGTTGCTTGGACAAATTGCTGAAATCATGGTTATTATAGTTAACTAAAACTAAAACCATAAAAACATTTTTGTTTGTTTAAATAAAATAAACATGAACTTAATTAAAACAATTAAAATTAAATTAAAATTCACATTTTCAATTAAAATGAAAATCGAAAAAATAAAAGCATATATATATATATATATAGTATCTCAGTTATACTTGAACAACACTGGCTGAAGTAAAAAAATTATTTTATTTCAAGTAATACAAATGTTTTTATGGTTTTAGGTTTAGTCAACTTTAATAACATTAAATTTACATGGTCTTACAAGGGTAAATAACTGGTTGTTTCAATAAGTTTTGTATAGTATTTTCTTTAAACTATGTCTAAAAAGGGTAATATTTTTTGTATTTGAGGTCAGATGTGGGAACGGTGACGAGAGAGAGAGGGGAAACATTTAGCTTTTTAGGTCAGCGTTTCCGTCTAATCAGCCAATATTGTCTTCAATAGCCTGTATAGCACTTCATCGTTTATGACATGGGATTTTGACCAAATATATTCAATCTTGATTTTTGTAAAATGTTGCAACAAGATGTTAATTTAAATTTTTATTTATTTTTTAAATGACAGTTTTGGACATCTGTGAGCCTGGAGCACAAAAGCAGTGTGAAGTCGCTGGGGGATATTTGTAGCAATAGCCAACAATACATTGTATGGGTCACAATTATACATTTCTCTTTTATGCCAAAAATCATTAGGATATTAAGTAAAGATCATGTTCCATGAAGATATTTAGTAAATGTCCTACCGTAAATATATCAAAACTTCATTTTTGATTAGTAATATGCATTGCTAAGAACTTCATTTGAACAACTTTAAAGATGATTTTCTCAATATTTAGATTTTTTGCACCCTCAGATTCCAGATTTTCAAATAGTTGTATCTCAGCTAAATGTTATCCTATATACATCAATGGATACATCTTATTTTTTCAGCTTTCACATGATGTATAAATCTCAATGTAAAATAAAATGACCCTTATGACCCTTATTTGTGCTCCAGGGTTACATATAAGATAATAACAAATATAAAAAAAAAAATACCTTAAATTATCTTTAAAAGAAATTCCGTGTGGAGCATATGCCCCCGATCCACACAATGTTCTCACCTTTTTTCCCGCTTACCTGTTTGCATCTCTGAACTTACTTCTGCATTCAAATTGCGTGTGAACTGGCCATGTTAACAGTTTGACTGTCTGTTTGAAAACACAGGCCCAAAGGCAAGATTTATACGTGCAACTGACGCAAACCAAAAGCCAAATGGAGTCTCTGCAGAACGACCTGACCACGGAGAACCAGCACCTTAAAGTCACTCTGGAGCGAGAAGAGGCGTCTCTGTCGGCTCTGCAGGAGGAGCTGCGGTCCCTGCGGGGACAGATACGAGAGCTGGAGGAGCGAGGGGCCGGGGCCGACTCCATCATGTCCGAGAACCAGCGACTGAAGGGCCACTTACAGGAGGAGAAACAGAAAGTGCACAGCTTCATGAGCCACAGAGAAGCGCTGATGGCCGAAGCCCAGGAGCTGCGGATGGAGCTCGATAAAGAGCGCAAGGTGACCGACAAGCTCAAGGAGGAGCTGGAGGAAATGAGGAAAGAGGACGTCGAAGGCAAGATGGATCCCGAGACAGAAGAACTACAGGCGCGACTTCAGGAGCTCGAGAACAAGCTGAAGTTCGAGCAGCAGCGCTCCGATCTTTGGGAGAGACTGTACGTGGAATCGAAGGAGGAGAGAGCGAAGGGCGACCGGGATGTGAAGACCAAGATTCCCAAAGACGGGATGCTGGGAAAAGTGACGGAAACCTTAGACGCTGTGAAGAACTCCTCTAAGGAGTTTGTGCACCATCACAAGGAGCAGATCAAGAAAGCCAAAGAGGCGGTGAAGGAAAACCTCCGGAAGTTTTCCGACTCTGTTAAAACGACGTTCAGGCATTTTAAAGACTCGGCTTCGAGGGTCTTCAATCATCAAAAGAGATTTCACGACGCCAAACCCGAGCATCACTCGTTCCAGCAGGAGCAAAGAAACAAGCGTGCCGAAGACTGGCAGCCGCAGAAACCTTTACACCGACATCCTCGCAAATCAACCAGCGACTCCGTTCACGCCGATCGCAACACGCGCAAACCCAGCGCTCGGAGACAGAAAACGCCGCCCAAAGGCTGTTCTGGAGTGTTCGACTGCGCCTATCAGGAGTCCATGAGTCTGTTCAACAAGGCCATGGATCCCATCCACGCAGACGAGTTTAACGAGCTCCTGCGTAGCTATTTGCAGAAAGAAGTGGGGCATTTCCACCACTGGAGGGAGCTGGAGAGCTTCATCGATAACTTCTTCTATAACGGCGTCTTCATTCACGACCAGATGCTGTTTACGGACTTCGTCAGCGGCGTTGAGGATTACCTCGAGGAAATAGACGAATATCACAGCCTCAGCGACGACGTGTTTGAGGATCTGGACGACTACATTTATCGCCACATATTTGGAGATGCGTATTTAAAATACTTTGGGCCGAGGTAAGATGTTTTGTGGTGTGGAATAAACTTATTTGGAGACTCAACATGAGCCTGTTTTACTTCCATAATTTACATGTGGCTTGATTTTATCCATCAGGGATTGACAATTCGTTAAGCCCTGCCCCTGTTTAACATTGCGTGCTTAATTAATTTTATTAAAGACATTGTTAAAGTAGGCAGTAATGTGTTTGTAACATTTCTACGATGCGTTCACTATAGTTTGGCAAATGTAAATGTTTTTACTAATGTTGGAACAGTTTAATCCACAGACTGGTTATGTTTATTTGTTTTATGTTATAATATTATAGTATTTATTAATATTTTGAATCAGCGTTTATTTGGATATTTTCTGTTTTCATTTTAATTTTAAGTAATTTTATGTGCTTTTGATATTTGTTTTTTCATATTTTTTGTATAATTTCTTCATTAAAATGAAATGTAATTAAAATAATTTTTATTTTATATACAGTATTTCTATTTGATTTTTAATTTGTTTTATTTTTAGTAAATGTATTTCTTCAACTTAAACTGTTTATTTCAGTCAGTTGCCATGGCAACATTTTTAAATTTAGTTTTAAGCTTTTTAAGTTTAGTTTTTCATCTAATATTTATATTTTATTTCATTTCAGCTTTATTTTAATGACTAAAAATGATTTTAAACAGTTGTAGATTTTGTTAATTATAATAACACTGCCACAGGCAATTGAAAACAATATTTAAATATTTAAAAATAATTATAATTTGGAAAATACTGTTTGTGTCCTTTATGAATATTGTAGTGTTACTACAATAAGAGCACATTTATTGTATTTTGAGAAAATGTAAATGTAAAATTCTGTTCAAAAACTATTAAAACAAGAATCATTCACATATATTTATATGGAAATATATACTTGTATTAACATATAAAAGCTTGAATGTAAGGATGTATATTTGATTTAAAACAATTTGGAAAAAAAATACAGTGTATCCTCCATGGATACTATGTGTCACTATTATAAGATCAACATTTATTGTATGTTTGAGATAAATTCTTTAAAATTCTGTTCAAAACTATTAAAACACACAAATCATTCATGAAGATTTATAATTGTGTCCCTGCAGCACAAAAGCAGTGTTAAGTCGCTGGGGGATATTTGTAGCAATAGCCAACAATACATTGTATGGCTCAAAATTATACATTTCTCTTTTATGCCAAAAATCATTAGGATATTAAGTAAAGATCATGTTCCATGAAGATATTTTGTAAATGTCCTACCGTAAATATATCAAAACTTAATTTTTGATTAGTAATATGCATTGCTAAGAACTTCATTTGAACAACTTTAAAGATGATTTTCTCAATATTTAGATTTTTTTTGCACCCTCAGATTCCAGATTTTCAAATAGTTGTGTCTCAGCCAAATATGGTCCTATCCTAACAAACCATACATCAATGGAAAGCGTATTTATTCAGCTTTCAGATGATGTGTACATCTCAATTTCGAAAAATTGACCCTTATGACTGGTTTTGTGGTCCAGGGTCACATATAGACATAGACTTGTATTAAAATGCAAAAGCTTGTCTGATAGCATGACTAATGGCAGCAGTTGCTGAGCTAGGATTGGTCAGTAATGTAAGGTATTCGTATCGTCTGTAATCATTTACACGCAGGTTGCATGTTCATAACCTTATTTGTCTGTGTTGCTTCTCTGTCTGTAGGTCTGAGAAACAGTAGAGTCTGCATGTACACACACGAGGCTTTGTGGCAAACCCTAAACACTGTCCCATTTGTAAATTTGCAGCCGACCCTTCGAAGGGCCGGGGTCGAAGGTCAAGGTGTGGCGTCAGTGCCAGCGGCAGCCTCGTCCTCAGAAAGCCAAGAAATGGAGCCGATCAGGACGCGACCCCAACCGACAGTTCGCAGATGTCAAAATAGAGCTGGGTCCCATGCCCTTCGATCCCAAATATTAGAAAAAACATTTCAGTTCTTCTCAATATTGCTCAATATTTGTTTAGTCTTGGAGAAGGTTCAAGAAAGCTTTGGGTTCACCTTTTCTGTGAATTTTTTTTTTTTTTGCAGAGTGTAAATGTTTGAATGCTGGTTGAATGATTTCGAGTGCGTTTCTCTTTCTGGACTTTTAAGCAGCTTAGAATTAATCACAGGTATTTTTGAGGCACATTTATGTTCCCATTCCCTGAAAAAGTATTGGAAATGATTATAACAAATGGATTACTAACCAAAAAGGCACTTTGTTTTGTTGCGTTTTAATGAATTATTAATGCTTTCTAAACAAACAAAACTAGATCAGAACAAAAATGTGTGTTTAATTTTGCTTAGGACCAAATAACCAATACAATACATTATATTGAAATCATTTTCATCTCAAAAGTTCAGTAGAGTTGGAAGGATAATGAAAACTGCTCTTAATTATAAAGTTCACTTTGAAGTAATCTGGTTTCTGCCGTATGTCACTGGTTTTATTTGAACATGCAAATCAGTAGAAGATATTAAGATTTAGTTTTAATCTGCACTTCTTAGTGCACTATTTTCTCCTCTTTTTCTTGTCTGTGTGGTTTTCGGCTAAATTACATTCCTTGTTTGGAAATGGCTGTAATGCAATTGCACACAAATGCACTTACGCTGCTTAATGTTGCACTTAAAACTTTAGAATAAAAGTCTTTCACTGCTTCATTGATGATTGTCCTCCTGCTTTGAGCAGAAAGAGATCTGGAGTGTGAAATGAAAGAGACAGTGTAACAAAACTTTTTGCAAAAGTTTGCAATCAGTTCAAAAAAATCTAACTTTAATTAGTCTTCAGTGCAGATCCTCTCGTGTATATTAATATGTTTCTTCCCACTTGACCATCAGGAAAGTGTGTGTGGAATATTTCAGCTTGTTTGGCGAATCGGTTTTCCTCCAGGAATGATGAAATCTCCTGAAAGGGAAAGTTGAAAGTATAATCAAATAATGTTGATTGTTTGTGATTTTTGAATTCTGATCGTAAACATTTGCTGATGTGATTTGACTGCACTTCATTGTTTTGGCTCTTCTACCTTCTCCAGGCAGTCGAACAGCACTATATGTGAAGGTAACGTGGACTGAGATGGGAAGGACGTTTGGAGCCAGTGAAGAGGGTTGGAGAAGAACACGTCTGCTTCGTCCACATACTCCTCATTTCCCGTGAGATCTGGTGGACACTCCAGGAACCGCAGTTTTGAGAGGACATTGCAGGTGACTGCAAAACATAAATAGAACAAGCCTTTTATTGCACATTTCTAAAACCTCTGCAGTTAAATCTGTTGCACACGATCTACTCCATACCTTCTGTCTTCTGATTGATAGCAAGTAAAAAATGTCCTACCTGCAGCTGGTGCTTCACGTGTCTTTCTACTGTCAAATCTTTATTGATTTTTATCAAGTAAAGGTCAGAATAACTGCAGTAATATCTCCAGATGAACACTTACTGGACTGAAGCAGCTCAGCTTTACTTGATTCTCCATCAATCATGTTTTAGAGTCTCAAATCTGATCCTCAGGATCTTTTGAGGAACGTTTGTTTATTCATCTCTCAATAATTGCATTGCATTGCATTCTATGTTTTGAAACTACAGAGCTGTGGCGCCACTTTACTTGAAGCCTTCATATTTAATGCATTTGTAATGCATACAGTTATAATGCATTATAATTCTTATCTATTCACTGTCACGCCTTTAGAAAGTATCATGCATTGAAACACATGACAAACAACCAATTTCAGATGTAACACAGAATCTGCAAATATTAAAATGCATTTTAACTTTGGATAAATTATTTATGAAAATATATAATGCATTATACATTATGAATACATTTATAGTGCACCAACTAAGCATTTTAATCCCATTTTACTAAGCCATATTATTGGAGATATAGTGACGACTGATATTTTTATACAAACCCGATTCCAAAAAAGTTGGGACACTGTACAAATTGTGAATAAAAACAGAATGCAATGATGTGGAAGTTTCAAATTTCAATATTTTATTCAGAATACAACATAGATGACATATCAAATGTTTAAACTGAGAAAATGTATCATTTTAAGGGAAAAATAAGTTGATTTTAAATGTCATGGCATCAACTCATCTCAAAAGTTGGGACAAGCCCATGTTTACCACTGTGTGGCATCCCCTCTTCTTTTTATAACAGTCTGCAAACGTCTGGGGACTGAGGAGACAAGTTGCTCAAGTTTAGGAATAGAATGTTGTCCCATTCTTGTCTAATACAAGCTTCTAGTTGCTCAACTGTCTTAGGTCTTCTTTATCGCATCTTCCTAGTCTTCAGTGCAGATCCTCTCGTGTATATTAATATGTTTCTTCCCACTTGACCATCAGGAAAGTGTGTGTGGAATATTTCAGCTTGTTTGGCGAATCGGTTTTCCTCCAGGAATGATGAAATCTCCTGAAAGGGAAAGTTGAAAGTATAATCAAATAATGTTGATTGTTTGTGATTTTTGAATTCTGATCGTAAACATTTGCTGATGTGATTTGACTGCACTTCATTGTTTTGGCTCTTCTACCTTCTCCAGGCAGTCGAACAGCACTATATGTGAAGGTAACGTGGACTGAGATGGGAAGGACGTTTGGAGCCAGTGAAGAGGGTTGGAGAAGAACACGTCTGCTTCGTCCACATACTCCTCATTTCCCGTGAGATCTGGTGGACACTCCAGGAACCGCAGTTTTGAGAGGACATTGCAGGTGACTGCAAAACATAAATAGAACAAGCCTTTTATTGCACATTTCTAAAACCTCTGCAGTTAAATCTGTTGCACACGATCTACTCCATACCTTCTGTCTTCTGATTGATAGCAAGTAAAAAATGTCCTACCTGCAGCTGGTGCTTCACGTGTCTTTCTACTGTCAAATCTTTATTGATTTTTATCAAGTAAAGGTCAGAATAACTGCAGTAATATCTCCAGATGAACACTTACTGGACTGAAGCAGCTCAGCTTTACTTGATTCTCCATCAATCATGTTTTAGAGTCTCAAATCTGATCCTCAGGATCTTTTGAGGAACGTTTGTTTATTCATCTCTCAATAATTGCATTGCATTGCATTCTATGTTTTGAAACTACAGAGCTGTGGCGCCACTTTACTTGAAGCCTTCATATTTAATGCATTTGTAATGCATACAGTTATAATGCATTATAATTCTTATCTATTCACTGTCACGCCTTTAGAAAGTATCATGCATTGAAACACATGACAAACAACCAATTTCAGATGTAACACAGAATCTGCAAATATTAAAATGCATTTTAACTTTGGATAAATTATTTATGAAAATATATAATGCATTATACATTATGAATACATTTATAGTGCACCAACTAAGCATTTTAATCCCATTTTACTAAGCCATATTATTGGAGATATAGTGACGACTGATATTTTTATACAAACCCGATTCCAAAAAAGTTGGGACACTGTACA